ATGAAAAGTGTAATATTAGATAATGAATGTCTAATAAAATATGAAATGTCCCGTTATTTTCGTGTTTTGTCAAATATAAACTGTTGTCTAAAGTAACGAATACTTATGTGAGTTCATTTTCAAAACTTTTTTAATAAAATGTATTTTCCACTAAAATTACTTTGAATAGCTTTTACCAAAATAAGCAGATTTTAGAAAAGGGGATAAATAGTATGCGTGAAAAAAATTAAGTTATTTTTCTAGCAGTTAGTAAGTGTTATTTGTAAATTAAACTTGAAAACACGAAAGTTCGAAAATAAATATGTACTACTGCATTTGTTTCCATACATAAAATGTATTCACAAAAAAAATACACTTTTATGTATGGGCATGTCCTTTACAGAAATTTTAAAGGATGATAGAACTCTATAGAAATTCCTGTAAAACTTTATAGGTAATCAGTCCGTTTCAGAACTGCATCTGTATAAAATCCTATAGAAACTAAATGCAACTATAGAAATATTACATTGCAAAATCATGCAGAAGTTTTATAAAACTTTTATAGAATGATATTCTATAGAAATATCAAAAGTTTCGAAACTTCAATCAAGCAAATTTCCGGTATATTTCATCGGTTGTAAAAGAGAAAAAATATGCACATTTTATGCTTAATTGTTGAATCATTTTTCAATGGAAATTTTTGCCTTTTTTCCTCTAGCTTAACATATTTAGCTCCTAAATGTGTGTAACTGCTGCGCAAATTTTTATACAGCATTGCATATATCAGTGAAATTGCACTCGGACCCAAATACATGAAAAAAAGACAGAAAAATGAAAGAAAAAGAAAAGAAGGGAAGAGAATATTTTTCTTTTTAGTCCAAAGGGCCAATTTGCCCAGAAGAACTATTAATTTCGTTTGGACATTTTGCGTCGAATCAAGATAAGTGTTGTTTCACTTTTCAAATTGTTGCCACTAAATATTAGAGTCCTGTATTATATTTAAAGAAATTAAATAATGAAAAATATGCATAAATGTATGTATGCTTCTCGCATTGTGATAAAACAACGGTACCGAGAGCTATCAAATTTTGAATAACGTACGTTTCCACCCGAATATGGGCATTTGAAATCCCAGATTTGGAATTTGGAATTTGTTTTATTATATATTTCGTATTTTGTAAACTTTTAACGAATTTTTGATTAACAAACTCAACGATTCCAAAGCGAGCAATGGCAACACTGTACAAAAAAAAAAAAAAAAAAAAAAAAAAAAAAAAAAAAAAAAAAAATTATCTCTGTGCTAGAGTGTGTATCGGAAATTCTAAAGATATGCTAATTTTAAAATTATTTTTCGATATTGCTGTTGAACTGAATTTTATGGTTTAAGTGCGAAGAACATGAAATTTAATAAATAAAGGTAACACACAAAACCTAAATAAAACGCCCCTTTGAGCGTGATGTAAAATCTGAAAGCTTTGAGATTTAAAAAAAATTTTTTTTTTTTAGCTATTTTTTGGTTATTGTCGTTAACTCCAAATTAAAAATTTTTTACCACATGTTTGTCAAAACGTGCATATAAAAATGGAACAAAAAATTTCAAATTTATACATATTTTCCACATGGAATCTAAACGCTGATATCTGTAAAAAATTTCCGTTGATCAAAGTATTGACAGCTAAATATTAAAATTTTCGTATTAACATTTATTCAAGTAATTTAAATACATTGAAGTAACTACTGAACAACTTATTTTTTACTTAAACTAAAAAGAAATATACGAAAACTTTCCATGAGGGACCAAACTTTATACAAATGACAACCTGCTTTCTTTCTTTTATTTATTAGATTTTTCTATGATACATACAGAGAAAATACATATTTGTATGAAAATAATTATAAATTTCTCCGTTTCTTATGACACATTTCAGCTGCAATACTTCATGGTATTTCGATTTTCATAAAGTTTGTAATCTTGGAGGAAACGTGCTATAAAGTATCTTCATCATAAATTGTAGATACTCAAAAACGGCAGTCTGGTTTGTTTTGCACTCGGGCTATTAATTCGCACTCAACTTATTAATTTTGAACAACGGTAAAAAAAACTGCTCACCTATAAATGTACTCTCAAGTAAAGCGGTTTTTTTATTATAGATTTTATTAAATGAAAATATTTATCTTCTGATAAGTACTAATAAAAGATAATCAAATGTTTAGCTTCATATCTTTGAAAAGATTTATATCACGATTCAAATTAATTAGCTCCATTTCTAGATTTTCCGAAGCGTTACTCATGTTCGATCTGGTGAAAATAATGTAAAATTAGATTCCAAATCATTAAAATCTTAAACTTTTTCTTCAAATTATTGTCATAATAATGCTAAGTAATTTCCGTGAAATGTATTTACGGGCCACATAAAATAACTTCGAGGGTCGCCAGTTTGAGACCGCTAGCTTATGTAATGCAAAAAAATAATTCTTTGAAAAGAGTAATGGCAATTTAAATCATAACATTAAAAAGATTACGTTTATGCTGTTAATTATAAAATTTTTAATTCCAGAGTTTAACCATTTTTATTATTATATATCCACCACAGCATAAATAGCTTCTTAATTTTAATTAATATTTAAATATTATTTAAACTGTATTTATATTTATTTAAATGATTTATAATCTATTTTCTCCCTCTTTGCCTTCGTGGTGTAACGGTAGGACACTCAGTACGTATTCTATAGGTCCAGGCTTGAGTCCCGGCGAGGGCATTGCACATTTTTCACATCTGCTTTATAATAACTTAATGACTCTACAGGGGCGCCCTGACTAAAAGGCGGTGGACGATAATTCGTCACACCTGGATTTGGCGATTGGATCCCCTAATCCCCAGTCGCTCTTTAAAAGATGGAATATACACTGACTACCAATAAGTATTTGGACACCTATGCAAATGACGAAATCTGCGGTCCTAAGGTACGTCACGGGCTCCGCCGGTATATATCGTTTAGGAAACAGCATTGGCTTTAGTCGCATGCAAGATGCCTCGCAGTTCGGAGCTCTCTGATTTCGAGAAAGGTATAATTATCGGGTATCACAAATTTGGCCGATCCTAAGGGACATAACTAGCGATCTGAAGTACCCAAAATCGACAGTGGCCTATGTGATTAAGAAGTGTACGGTGAGCGGTTATTGTCGGAATGTTCCCCGAGTCGGCAGACTAACGAAACTGGGAGATAGAGCCCACGAGTGCTGTCCAGAGAAATTCGGAAGAACCGCACCCAACCGATGGCCCTCATCCGCGAGGAGTTTCAACAGGCATCCGGGAGTATTGTTTCAATGAATACCATCCGTAAGGAAGCACATCTGCTTGGTTTTCATGGTCGTGCTGCTGCCCATAAGCCTTTGATCACAAAGTCCATCCGCGCTGCTCGGTTAATGTGGTGCAAAGCACATCGAAATTGGACCGTAGATCAGTGGAAACGGGTTCTTTGGAGTGACGAATCAAGGTTCACCCTTTATCGTTCGGATGGCAGGGTCTGGGTCTGGCGTCTACCTGGAGAACGTCTCCTGGCAGCATGCATTGCGCCAACAGTCAAGTTCGGCGGAGGTGGATTTATGGTCTGGGGGTGTTTCTTCTGGTATGGGCTGGGACCCTTGGTCCCCATTCATGGTAAGCTCAACTCCGATGCCTACTGCACTATTTTGGATGACAATGGGCTTCCTACGTTGTGGCAGTTTTACGGGTTGGACCTCTGTTACTTTCAGGACGACAATGCCAGTTGTCATGTTTCGACATTAATCAAGGCTTGGTATGGTGCCAATGGAGTTCATCGAATGGACTGGCCTGCACAAAGTCCAGACCTGAACCCTATCGAGTACCTCTGGGACGAGTTGCATCGCCGAATTCAGGGGTGCACAACCCGGGCAAAATCGGTGAAGGAACTTCTATGTCTTCTCCAAGCCGAGTGGAAGAAAATACCACTAGCAGTCATACAAAGACTTTGGAAAGTATGCCCCGGAGGGTCCACGCTGTAATTACCTCTTGTGGAGGCTCTACCAACTATTTATTTTGAATAAAGTTAGTTTTTCTTTTCTATCACAGGTGTCCAAATATTTATTGGTAGTCAGTGTATACAACATCTTCTACCTCTTTCCCTATGCATTCGTTTGTAACGGTAGCATAATCGGCACGTATTTCGAGAAGTTCAGGTTCGAGTCTGCCGGCGAAAGCACTGAACATTTTGTATATTTTTCACATTTCCTACTTCAGCATAATCTAGTGACTACACATATTTTGAATTTTTTATAAGAAAAAAAAAATCACGTTTGTTCGGAATGTTTTATTCACTTTATCCCTCTATGTCATAGATCATTCCAAAATTTAAATAAAAAGTTCTATTTATAAATTTAGTTCTCTCTTTTTAACACCTAAAGAAAATGTGGTTGATTTTATAATGCTTTTAAATGTTCAAAAGCTTCTATAGAAATCTAGACCTTAGATTTGCTTTTATTTTCTAAGAATAGAAATCTATTCTTAGAAAATGAAAGCAAGGAAACTTGTTCAGTTTTCTTTAGAATAAGGGCTCAATTTTCTGTAAACGTGATTTTATATTTTCAATATTCATTTCCTATGTAATTCAATATCTATTTCTATTTAACAGAATTCTATTCACATTGCGTAAAATTCCGCAGGTGAAACCTTTAGAAACCATTCATTTTTATAAAATCTGTTCACAAATTTCTATAGAATAGTTACGCGCATCTCTATAAAATCTGTAAGCTTAACTCTGTACAAGCTACATCTAAAATTTTATAGTGTTCGATAGAAAATCTCTGGCCCAGTTTATAAAAAACTGAGGAAACATTTTAAAGAAAATTAAAGCTTAGCACTGCATTTTTAATAGAATTTTGTAAAACATTTTTGTAGAGGATAGAACCCAGCTTTAGTAAATTATGCACAAAATTTCGCAGTTAAAATTTAATGTCAAAATGCACAATTAAAGAGCTCAAACGTAAAAAGATAACTTACCAAGTCCTTCAGAAACCCAAGTTACTAAATTATTTCCATGAGGTCTTCCGATAAACTCATCCGCTCTGTTAACAAAGATTTCTTTGATAGTTTTTGTATCGTTCAGAACTATTACGAGATTTCCTCCAAGAGTACGAAAACTAATAACATTCCCATACTTCTTGCTTAATTTATACAAAACCTTGTATGGCTGGTTAGATATGTATGGGTAGTAACCAATAAATGGTAATCCCCATGGACCTGGAGGAAGTCTACGATTTTTGTTCCAGATATAGAATAAAAGTCCTGTTAGAATTAATACAGCGGCAGTAGTCAGAAAGGACTCGAATTTAAGCTGTTCGAAGGCCATTTTTACAAGATGAAATGTGCTCGCTCAGTGGGAATCATATTTCTGTCAAGGCCAGTTTTATCGGTTTTCCTTACACGATAATGAAAATATGATACATAATCAAGGACCTCTCATCTTTTTTTCAAAATAGAATGCCAAAGAATAGACCTGCTTGTCAAGCTATTATATAACATTATCAGTAATGGTTATCTAATATGCAGTTCAGTCTTCCTTACAGTATAACTGATTTCAAACTATTGTGGAGGGGATGAATTATTGTTAATGCGTTATAAGAGGGGAAAAAATGTCGTTTTTGAATATGCTTTTGGAATCATAAGCGAAATGGATTTATATAGAAGATTTTTTTTCTTTTTTTCCCTCTTAAATAGTGTTAAATGTTTTAATACTTACTGGTTTAGTTAAAACCTGTGTCTGTTTTTACTGCTTTCAGTAAGAGAATTTCATCTCTTGGCAAAATAGAGTATTCCCATTTTAAGAAAATATTTGTTGCAAGTCTCATTCGTAAATAATGCAGTGAAAAAATTACTACATCTTAAATAATTAAGTCTTTTCTTTATTAAATTAACGCATAAATTACCAACTGGCAATAATTTGTGACGAAATAGTATCATAGCGAGTATTTTGTTTCGCAGCATTTGTCATTTCTGGTCTATTAAATATATGATTTTATATATTGTAGAATTTATCTGTTTATCGTAAAACCGCTTTAGGCGTTATAGCTTAGCAGAAATCATTAACACTTTTATGACTTGATAATAATGTGGAATATGACTTTTATGACTTTTTATTTAATTTATCATACTTATGACTTTTTATATAATTTATCATACATTTAAATATTATTCATTTAAAATATTTCAGAAAATTCAGTACCAAAGAAGTCAGCTTTAAGATTTTTTATTACTTTTATTAATATTATATTATTAATAAGCCGAATCATCTACACCAGTATTTTTCTCTAACTGACTCTAAGAGCTCTGAATAGGAAAAATCTATTATGTAAATCAACAATCGATGTCTCTGTAAAGCAGGCAGTTGTGCAGAAGACCGAAACTACCCAGAACTGTGTGTAGCTGTCTTAGGGAGTATTCACTGCATATTTTTCCCCTGAAATTTGAATAGTAATTTAATAGATGGTAATAAATACCTCTTCCAAGTAAGGAATTACAATCTGAAATTTTCATTTGCCATTTTCTTTAATTTTTTCATATGTATAATGATATTAAACCCTTATTATTTCATATCTGGGGCAAATATGCGGGTTTATACTTATTAATTAGGTTCATTTGTTTCTTGTTGGTTGGTTTACTTGTTTATTTGAATCAAAACTTGAAATTAATTTTCGATCCACTTCTATCTCGAAAAATTTTCTTGCCCTTTTCCTACATACGTATTCTTGCGGATTTTTTTTTTTTTTTTTTTTTTCAAAATTCATTATTGAATATTTTAATTTAAAATTGAATTTTTTCGCTTATCACTGCTAAAGAATCAAAATAATTATCTCATAATTTCGATCTTTGCGCTATTGCATCGATAAAATGTATTTTCCATGTTAAAAATTATTTTTCTAGAATTTTATCGTAACAAAATTTTGTGGTTTTACAGAAGCGGTTTATTTTTAGATCTTAAATCAAACAAAAATTTTAACTATTTGCATGCTATTGTATGCTGTCGAATGGATCAGAATACCTTTAAGTATTTCATGTTATACTCATCGTAGAAATAATTTTCCTACGTACACAGCCAGTATTTTCTTCCTTTCCTAAGCAAAGGTCTAAAATAAAATATGTAAAAAAATTTAAACTACGCAGTTTAAATTAAGTGCGCTAAAATATTTAAATTAGTTTCCAGGTCTTAATTTATCTTGGATATTAATACTTCGGATTTGTTTTTGAATATCCATGTTGTAAATGCAGCTTCCACGTATTGGCTAAGCTCATATTGCGTAGTGATGTATGCTCGGCATCTCATTCACCAGTCATCAACCACTCGTGTTCGATGGGTGACATATGAGAAGAATGGGTGGAACAAGGAAACAATGCAAACCGGTAGCAATAAAAAAACTATTTAACACTGTGTGCAGATGACATCGTGCATTGTCATTAAAATTTTACCGCTTGGCTTAAGGATAAGGAAGATCAACCGGATACATAACTTAATAAATGTAGTGTCTGATGATGTACAAGTCTGTTCAGTGCCCGATGATGTATAGGCGAATGTGGGAAAAAAGTCAAATACCATTCCCAGTCACACCTTCAAGAGTCGAACCGGTGTGATGATGACTAGTCGAACGAATGTGACGTCGAACCAACCGGCGATGCACTGTCGAATCTAAAGTCGAACTAGTGTGACGATTTAATGCAAGGATCATGATGTAGGTACCGCGGGGTAGACTTGGATACGGTCATCGATTTGTTGTAAGAAAATGAGGATTTATCTGAAACAAATATCTGGCCATTGGTCGTTTGCTCATGCCTCGTATTCAACTCATCATTGCAGCCACATACGCCTATGGAACAGAATCAACGGTAATCGCAGGAATTGGCACCTTGAAAAGATTTTCCTTTTCTGCAGACAACGTCGAATGTATGTGCTAACACAGATTGATATGCAATAGATTCTAATTCATTTACTATGGGAATCTATGGGACAGACCTTAATTCATGCGTTATGCTGCTGCTTGATCTCACGTTGCCATGCGCACAGCTAGAACCCCCGAACAGAAGGTGTTAGGTCTTGTATTGGGAGGTGCTGGCACAACAACGGTGCCCTTTCTTTTAATGATGCGACACACCTGGTGCAGTCTTTCCTTTAGGTGGTCTGCACCCAAAGATTCTGTATCGTCGGTTGTTCTGTTCGGTTCTTCCCCCAAAGATTCTGTATTCGCATCACAGAGGCTTGATTTCGACCATCACAGTCACACTGTTCTCGTAAGGCTGATCCGCGATGTCTGCAAATCACAGTTCTTCCTCTCTCAGAATCAGAAAATTGCTCTTTTGGCTTAATTTTCATAACGAGACATACGGCAGTTTCCCTGAAAAAGGGGACCCACCAGCGGCCGAGCGGTAAAGTCGCTGAACATTGGTAGTTCGGTCCGAGATTCGAACCCCGCGAACGAGCTGGCTGCATGGGCGTTTTCGTGGTTTTCCCCATGTGTAACGTGTATACGAGCCAGTTTCCCTTAGAAAGTCCTCCACGAACGCATCCCTCCTCTTAGGCAGATAGCCCTCGAGGCTTTGCCATAATCACACACACACACCCTGAAAAAGTGGAATACGCAATTCCAGTACTAAAAACAGCCTACTTTTCTCCTATTTTATAGTGGTTCTAGTTGGCGTTTCTGATTTTATTACTAGAGTGCTGCTACAATGTGTACTACAATACTGCTAATTTGCATATCTTTATCAGATCTGCACATATACAAATTCAAAGCCTCTTTAAAGGTACTGCATTCTGGTTGGTAAGCAGTGTAATTTTAATGTACGAACATTACGTATACTCTTGACGCCGCCAAAAGTTTTAATCGTTTTAGATAGACGCAATTAAAGGTCGTAACATAGTTCCTTAAAACACGTTACACGCATAATCAGTCCCTGCCTAATACTGTACCATTTACAATAAAAGTATAAGGTATTTCTCCCGCCTTCTTCGCATGCCTTCGTGGTGTAGTGGTCAGCACGTTTGGCGCGCATTCGAGAGGTCCATGGTTCGAATCCATGTGAGGGCATTGCTCATTTTTCAAATCTCCTGCTGTCAAAAAAATTTCTAATGTCTCTACAATGGCGCCCTGAAGTAAAAAGGTGGTGGATAATGATTCTCCACCAACAGGATTTGGCGACTGGGTGCCTTAATCGCCAGTCGCCTTTTAAAAGAGGGTGTATTTAAGGTATTTCTCTCGCCTTCTTTTCATGCCTTCATGGTGCAGTGATCAGAACGTTCGGCGCGTATTCGAGATGTCTGCGATTCAAGTCCCAGCGAAGGCAGTGCTCATTTTTCATCTCTCCTGCTTTCAAAACATACCTACTGTCGCTATAAAAGTATATATTAAATATCTCATCAATTTCTGTCCATCATTAAAAAAATCCTTATGATGCCAAATTCTAGTCAATATTTTTGTGTATGACACCGGCTGCGCATTAAATGCGGTCAGGAGGAAATCCAACACTGAAAGGATCACTTGTGGCTATAAATTCTGGACCCTTCGGCAGTTGTGATAATAATAATATAAGTAATAAAATTTTCTGCCTATAAACGTTACTCAATTAAAGTATCTTGGGCTTCATAATAATCTGTGCCCTAACACATTTTTCTGAAGACGTCAGAGCAATTTTTCGTTGAGTTCATTTGAAGCACTTTCGGCATATTCAGATTGTTACTTTTATATATTTAAGAAGGATACCGTAGAATTAGATACTTTAGAAATGATATCATACATAAAAGATTTCAAGAAACTGTAAATCTCTCTATTTACAGTAACCTCTTGGCGGGCTCGGATTTGTGGAACTTCATCGCATATGCATGTTACCTTAATGATTTCCATTTAATTTGCCTAACGCTAGAATATTATTCATACACGGTTCAACATGCATTCATCAACACTGATCAACTCTGACCTGAAGTTATCAACAATTTTAAGATTCCCATCGATTGAAAGGAAAGACAAAGAAATTGTACAAAATGCAAAAGAAATTGTCATCGCAGGAGTTTCAGATATGGAAGATGGAGAAATCGAAGAATTCGTTGAGAAATAATAAATCAAAAAATGGATGATGGTATAAAACTAGTCGACAGAGAAAGCAGAAACAGCGAAGAAGATAAAGCATCTTTGCCTTCCAAGTCATTAATTGAATGCTAAAAATGGTAGTGCTACTTTTGCCTGATTTTACTATGGATGTTGACTCAGTGAAGAAAGAAAAGGGCACTTAATGAGAAGCATTGAAGAACTCTCATCTCCCAACAGCGAAACGTTTAGAGTTTCGTTAGCTATTCTTCCAAGCAAAAATACCAGCTTTTTTAAAAAATAATTATACCTCGTACTTATTAGCAGTAATTTTTTCTCTCTAATAAAAGCAATATTAGGTTTTTTTTAAAATTATACATATTTTTTAAATCTGAAATTATACCTAACACATTTTTTCCACAGAAATTAACTTTGCAGAACGCGATTTTGCAGTATACGCAATGTATTGTTGACGTAACCCTCGCTTTCTGCAACGGTATACTGCATAGTAAAATTGCTTAATTAATTTTACGATAATATCACTAATTTTAATAATAAGAGCTCTTAACAATAATATAAGAATAAAGGAAAATATTTAAGACCTCTTTTAAACGCATTAAATTACTAATTTCAGACATTTTCGCATGTGTAACGACTTACTACAGGCACATAGCCAAGAAAAAGGTGGCCTGGGCGCTCGTCATCCCTCTACCCCGTTGCCGAAATAGGCGAAAAAATATATCCTATCTCGATGAAAGCAAGAGGAAGAGAACTAATTTCTTTAAATCCATAATGTTTAGGGTCGCATAAAATATAATCATTCCTAATAATTATTAGGAGTTCGAAAACCCTCTCTTTTCCCCTCATTATCTTGAAAATTTTCCATCTAGAAATTTACTTCGAACACTTAATGAAAAGAAAATTCTAGAAGGAAGAGGTTTCTTGCGTTAAACTTTCTTTCGATTTCGATTGTACTAATAAACATAACAAATATATAAAAGGTCTCTTTTCGACTAAAGAAGCAATGTAAATTTCAATTACTGTAGTACTCTGAATTTTATTTTTGTAATTCAATTTTTTAAATATTTATCATTCTCCTCATTAATTTTATCTGAGAAAATTTTTAAAATAAGTGTAATTATTGAAAACTTTGTGTAAACATATCTCTTCACATCACAGATTTTTAAAATATCCATTAACTTCAGACTTTTTAAAAAATTTTCTTTACACTGATTAAGAGATCTCATTACAGGAAAGAGTTATAAAATTAAAATTTCGCATAAATGCACGTGTGTTTCCTTTGAGCATTTTATACTGAATATTAGTTTCCTATAAAGATTTATTTCAGTTCAGAGTTTAATTATACTAAAAGCAAGAAAAATGTTAGTTTGCATATCAGCTGCCATTTCAAACGGTCAGGGGCATTCTTTAGATCAGTGGTGCGCAAACTTTTTTCGACTGCGACCCCTTTTGTAGAGAGAAAATTATTGGTGACCCCTAGAGATAAATGTTCACAAATACGATGTATATTTCGCGCATTTCTTTCGTTTCATCGAAAAAAAACATCATCATATCTGACTCATATCAATTTTATTTATAATTTTAAGAAAATATTTTTTGTATAACACAAAAATCAGTAAATTGCCCTTTAATGAGATGTATGTGGCTGCAAGTTTCTAATTATCTCATCGATGTTTGGATGTATGTTGCTAATTGCAATTCGCATATCATCTTCAGGGTTTAAACGCGAGCGGTATTTAGTTTTTATTGAAACTAGTTTGCTAAATCCAGTTTCACATAAATACGTTGATGCAAATTGTATTAACACTCTGATGGCATTCTTGCATAAAACGGGATATTGTTTTTCCACGGATAGCCAAAATTTTTGGCAAGGCTGAGTCTTAAATTGATTTCGAAGAGTATAATCACTAATTAGATCTATCAATTGCTCTTTCTCACTAATTTGAAGAGTTGAACTGCATATGTCAAAGGAAAATGGATCACGAATCCAACCAAGATCGTTTTCAGGAAAATCCTCGAATCTTCTCGAAAAATTTTCCTTTAACTTTTCAATGTGATTGGAAATGATGTTTTTAAATGTAAATATATCTATATTATTTTCCTTGATAAAATCGTTAAAGCAAGGGAACATGTCGGTGTTGTTTTTATTCAGTTCAGTTTGCCAGAGACTAAGCTTATTCTTAAAAGCTTGAATTTTACTGGCTGAAGTTATGATAGTTGAATTCTCACCCTGCAAGCTCAAATTTAAGTCGTTAAGTTTTTCGAAAATATCAACTAAATAGCTCAGCTTCCCTAGCCAAACTTCATTGATATAATAACTTGCCAATCTATGTTTCTTTTCGATTAAAAACATGTACACTTCATTTCTCAAATCAAATATCCGTCGTAGTATTTTCCCACGTGAAAGCCATCTGACTTCGGTGTGTAACAGTAATCTCTCATACGTTGAGCCCATCTCATTGCAAAGTATTGAAAAGAGACGGCTGTTGTGGCTGTTGCATTTAATGTAGTTAATTGAACTAACAGCGTCTTGTAATATGTTGTGCAACTCTTCATCCATATCTTTTGCAACAAGAGCTTGCCGATGAATCATACAGTGATTAAATACCATATGAGGCGCCACCTTCTGAATTAAGCCTCTGAGCCCTTTATTCGAACCTGTTAATGCTGCAGCACCATCAGTACAAACCGCAACACAGTTTGCCCAGGTAAGGGGACTTTGTTTCAAAATATTCATTTATTACTTCGAATATTTTTTCTCCAGTTGTTTTTCCTTCCAAACTTTTGCAACATAAAAACGTTTCTGTTATATCTTCATTAAAAATAAACCTAACGTAAATAATTAGTTGTGACATTTTAGTAATATCGGTAGTCTCGTCCAGTTGTCAAATACAGATGAATTTTGTATGCGTTTTATGACTTCTGACTCGATATTTCGTGACATTCAGAAATTTACGTAAAACTGCGAAACCGCGAACAAGGCGCTATCACGGATGAAAAGTCGTCTCACATTTATAAAACCTTACATCAAGAAAGAGCGGACAGCATGAAATTGCAATTAAACAGTGAGTGACGGCGCTTCACTCTTTATATGTACATTGCATGGTATGCAGCATGCAGGCAAAATGCATTTCATAAAAATTTGGCGACCCCCGAAAAACTTCTGGCGACCACCACAGGGGTCGCGACCCCTAGTTTGCGCACCACTGCTTTAGATGATAATTTAAAACTGCCGCTAATAAAAATGGGCTGCACGAAAGGCCGAAAACAACGCGATAATGCCAGTATATAACAAACTTCTCAGGATTTCCTCCTAACCACCACAAGAAGCGTAGAAAATTCTTATCATTTTCATGTACAGCAAATTTGCAAAAAGGCTTTTCGAATATCCGATATGAGTCCTATTTTCCCTAATCTTAAGCCATTCAAAATTGTATCTATTATTTCAGAGATTGGGGCCCTTTTCTACAAAATCGCTGAATGAATTAAAACTTCTCTGTCGAGCAGAACCATCAAAAACTGGTCGAATTTTAGTCGTAGAATTTTCTTTAAACACATGTCGGTGGGGTAATTAGTAAAATTTCCCAGTTTTGTTAGACTCATTCAAATCGACCTTTTCGATAATGCGTTCCTCTTCCCATTCATCAAATCCATTCTCATAATCAGTTAATCTTCGTACAGTTCTCAATCTCAATCAAGTACAGTGTTCTTCAAACTTTTTTTAGCCAGTTCGAAACAATCTCCAAGTTTTGCGTGGCCCTCAATCCAAGGAATGCAAACAATGTACCTGCCTTCTTCATTTCTTGCTACCGTATTTTCAAAATGCTTCAAAGCAAGATCCTGTAGTTTAATTTTTTTTTGCTTTTCACTGGGGTCTTTTATGACTAGCGAATCCAATTCCATAAACCTGATATTTTAGAAGATTCGTAAGCAAAGAGTGCACCAACAGCGAATTTTTTGCTTCAAAGTCAGATTCATATTTATAT